AAAAAAAAAAAAAAAGCTCGTCTAGTTTCGAACCACAGAGGGGTTCTTCCTCATAAGCAGCGTGCTGCTCAGTAGGCTGCGCGACATCGCAACTGCGCGTTAGTTTAGTATTTCTCACTATAATTATTATAAAACCAATGGTAAAGATAGTTATTTTGCATCAGTCTAATACAATCCTTCTCTCAAATCATTAAATATACTACACCAATTTTTCCTCCCAATTGACTTTTGAATTGAAATGCTTTAAAAACTCAACAGTGTGTGAAACATTGCAGGATATTATCCAATCCTCGATATATTCCTACAAAATGTGTGCCAAGTCCTGTCACCTGTACCGCAACCCATTAATCACTACGCAACACGGAATTACAGACATAAAGAGTTACAAGCATTTGTACTTGTACACGATTTTATCTCGAACGTTTCATCTGTCTAGACTGCATAATTAGTTGTCTAAAAAATGTAAAAATGTTCAATTTTCTGAGTTTTTCTGTCCTTTTTTTTAGTTAAAAATCCGTTGCCCCACGTTGCCCCACACTAGGATTATCTCTTGTGTCGTGTGTGCGTTTACAAACATACAAGTTCACATACACATGACACCCAGACCCGAAACAACAATTAGTGAATCACACTAAGTGTTGTTCCGTACGGGAATTGAACCCACGTCACGCTGCACGGCAGCCGGTTGCCCAGCCACCGCACCAACCGTGCGGTCAGTCTTTGAAATGACAAACTACGGTTAAGGTATCGCCTGATAGTTAGTAGGTACTTTTGCCTATGGATGTCAGTTGCGTATTCAGTCTTTACTTTAACCTAGTACCGTATTCAATGTTTTTTGATAAATCCTATTGCAATCTTAGTTATAAGTAGATTGAAAATACAAGTTTAGCTCTTCCCTTCATTGTGAAAAAATGATTTTACCTCATCCTCATCGACATTCACACCACAACAGTCATGAGTCTCCGTAACTACTGTCTCTAAAGACCATGTCAAATCAACTATCTCTGGTTTCTACAGCAAAAGTATGGAATTTGGATAACAAAAGAATGTCTCGAGATATGGTGATGGTATACACGGCCACACATCGATCTATACAAAACCAGTATATACTGGTATCGCGTCGCATCATCTTTCCGCACATTTAACGTTCAGTTTATACTGGTTATGTAAAGCTCGATGTGTAGCCGTGTGTACCTGCTTCGTATTTTCTTATATTGTTCCTAAACTATTTTAACAGTTTGACTGCCGACAGAAAACTGTTGAAGGTAAATCCTCCGCTATCGTGGCCTATACCTTGTCTCTTACGGCACGTCGCGTTCCGCGCGCGCCTCAAAGAGCCATCAGACCACCACAGATGGGGCCCAAATAGGACCAATGCCGATTCGGAGTCGCGGAGAACCTAACGGGGTGGTTTTTAGTCAGTAAGAGTTTGACACTCCCTCCCGCCTCACCCAGGCTGGAGCAGTCATTCGATGAAGTTCCCCCCTTAAAAAAAAACACCTTGTCCCTTATGGCGTTCAAGGTGTTCACCGACTTCAAAAAAAAGAAGGTTTGAGTTCGACCTGTGTATATGTCTGTTTGTGCGCGATTATATCACGATTAGCTGAACGGATTCTGATGCGGTTTTCTGATAAGTATTTACTACATTTCGGAGAAGGTTTTAGTATATAAATTAACCGACTTAAAAGAAGAGGACGTTGAGTTTCTTTAAAACGTAGTTTATAACAGAATTATTATTACAATATCTACGTCTTCCATTGTCAAATTATAACACTTTAACACTTTTGGGTTCAACCCACAAAACATAACGTAACACCACGCTTTTTATCCCCAAAGGGGTTGGAAGAGGTGCACACAGAAGTAACAGTCACTTTTCACTATTTATGTTATGAGTCCCATGTAATAGGGGGTGAGCCTATTGCCACATATCGGGCCCATTTCCAGACTCCGTGCTAATACTGAGATTTTTTTTAAACCCAGTAATACATTGCCCGACCCGGGAATCGAACCCGAGATCCCTTGCCCGGCAGTACACTTGCGACTACTCGGCCAACGAAGCAGTCGTTCGGTTCAACCCACTCCACAATAAAGGAAGTATAATTCAAGTTCAATATCAATATTCATCCTTCGCTTCACAAGCCGAGCCAAGTTTACCCAACGGTCCATTACCATGGGAATATGGACGCAATAGAGTAATTGTTTATTCAAGAGATGCACAAAACTCCACGTATTATGTAAGAGGTATTCCCGAAACTAAGTCGTTTTATGTGAGACTGTGAGATTTGGGGTCATAGTACTGGATATCTTACTGATGTTGCGTAATGACAACGAACTGTGAATGCAATACAGAGATTGGTCAGAAGTCCCAGAAAATGGAAATTTTAATTACGCTACCAATTTTGTTCTTAACTTGTAAACGACACTTGGTCTAGACAGTTTAGCTACACTTAACAAATGTTTATGATTTTCATAGTTCGATTCTTTCAATATTTTAATACTCTCGCACATCAAGCACCTTACTGAATTAACACATATTTTTAGAAATACTGTTATAATTATAATAGAGTATCAAAAGGCCCGTCATGATTTAACTTAACCTTCTGTACTTAAATATACTGCGTCAATTACTAGATGCCATTTCATACGGTACTTTATAGTTCAGATTCTTACATATTTTTCGTAAATTATCATTCTTGGTGTCGTAGTTAAAAAACTATTAAGGTGTGAGTACCGTTGGGCATTTCAACATCTTTCGCTAAGCGGTCCTTTGGTCTTTTGTAAGAAAAAAGTGAACTGTACTGACCCGTACCGAGGCGAGTGTTTTGAAACCGTTAAATGTTAAGTCGTGTTGAGTCTAATGCTTTTTGTAGGTATCAAATGTTAGATTTCGGTCGCACGTTAACGTCCGCCCCTGACGCCATATAAGATTGCTAAAATAGATAAGGCTAATGCAAGTTCATTGCCCAAGAAGTCTAGCACTAGACAATGGGTTGCTAAAATAAAGGCTACTAAATTCATGTTGCATTTTCATTTACTAACCTTATAAATGGTGTAGCATTTTCCGTCCTTTGGCCAGTACAGCATGAGCCATCCTCTTGGCAGTGCTGCACACGGATTCCTCTTTACATCAGCCCATGGTGGTGGTAGCACTGCAGCTTGAGAGCCACACAGCAATGCCGCCAACCACACCCACACCGCCATTTTCGAACACTCCAAATTCAATTTGAACACTTTTTAAATCTTTTCATTTTTTTTTCTATTCACTGATAGCAACAGTTATTTTATTCAGCCTAGTTTTCATTGTAGTTTTTTGCACTGACACCTTTTTGTACTGTTGAACAGTGTTCCATTATTTAATCTTAACTGTAGTTAGTCTATCCAAGTCCAGTAAGACAAAAAGTCAGTTAACGTTAACCACTGAAGCTTTGAACAAAAACTTGAACGTTCTAGTTAATTAATGTACATCGTGGTGAAACATTTTAACGAACACATTTTTTGTTTGGCAGCAAGAAATGACTTAGTAACACACACTGTCCCGTTCTCACATCGTTACAAATGATACCTGTAAAGAAATACATTTATTACATTAGATAAGTACACATATCTTGGACATTTTCGGTGAATTCTTCGTTACCAAGTTAAACTCGAACTAATAATATACATGGCGATGTTCTAACAAAAATTGTATACCAAAAACGCATTCGTTTTCGTATTACGTAAATGTTATAACTTTCAGTGCAGTCATTTCGTTGCTACGTGAATCTGAGCAAGATTTGTTGTTACGATAATAAAAATCTATACAGATATTTTAAAAAGGAAATATTTCTCGTTTATGAGTTGATTTGTTATCGTAATATCTTGAAGTTGAAAAAGAAGACTCTGAAATAGGGGACTTATGAACTTCCTTTGATGGGAACTACGACAAAATATCCTACTTAACTAAGGTCAGAACATAAGGTTTTAGGTACTCGAACCTTGATTCTGCATGAGCAAAGTCGCACACTTCCTTCTAGAATAAAATCGTAGGAAAGTGAAAACTGTACATTGTTTTTTTAAACTAACGCTTGGGGCGTGATATACAATCGACATGGAAACCAAAAATATGGTTTATTGCATTTTTGTCTATTTATCTGTGTGTATATTCGGACTCAACTCAATAAGTACTGCATGGATTTACTTCAAAATTCAAGATATTACTAACAAGTCGGGTCAACATATAGGCTACATATGATCACGCTATCACCTACGGGGGAGTATCTTTGAATCACTATTGCACGCCGATGAAGTCGCGGACACAACTAGTAATTTATATTTTAATCTGCAGTTAGTCGGGTAGACTCTGGAACACAATGTGCAGTCGGGCGTTGGACGTTAGAAAAAGTTACGTTATTATAACTAGTCTGGTCTGTCTATTATTACTGCACTTTTATAACTGTACGTTACCACTGTTTTTATTGCGAACGATAGATTAGTTCTTGAACATCTCAAGTGATAAATTACTGGCGTCATTGTTCAGCGAGTTCGTGGTTCCATGATTGCTAATAAGGAGGCTGTTCATGTGGATCTTGGTTTTGGTTCCAAGGTTGTTGTTCTATTGTGTCTAACTAAAATCTGCGATCAGTCACCGAAAGATGCACATCAGAATTCCTAACTTTGTAGTGACTACGATCTCGAAGCGAACCCTCGAAAATAAAAAGCGTGGAAATTTTGATAAACACCCTTTTTGAGGAAGGACTAGATTTTTAGCCATGTTTTTGGGATTTTAAGCTAGGGACTCACGCAATCCGCCGCGGCTACAGGACCTGGCCGTACCCGCCACCGGTGCAACAGGACCCTCAAACAATCGCAACCGCCGAAGGCGTAAAATGCGCCGTGAAAATTGCTTTCATTTTTTACATACCTACCGTAAAACGGGGTGAATAGAATTCGAGGAGTGAATAGATACAGGAATGGGGTGAATAAATATTAGAACATTTTCTCAATATTTATTCACTCCTCTTCTGTATCTATTCACCCCGTTTTACCGTACATAGGTATCTGTACTCCCATCATACTAACTGTGCGACATCATACTAAATGTCATAAGGTAGAAGATGTTGTTCATCTCTTAACGGAATGGGTCCGTTTTCAGGCTGAAAGAGATATCCTGACTAATGAATTATGTTTAATTAAAAACAATATAGGATTATTTAATGAAATTTTAGCTGCCCCTTTATCTGATGCGGCCAAAAATTGTATAGCTTTGCAGGTCTACGTTTTGTTAAATAGATATTTAGAGTATTTTGTTTGTATAACCTGTAAGTTTAATATGTTAGATATAAGGTATAATGGAACTGTCATGTATTTATGTACAAAAGTTCCTAATTAAATAAAGAGAAAAAAAAAGGTATCTGTATTCTACAAAGACTGCAGGCCCACAACCGCGGCCGGCGCGGGAGAAAATCGAGTGAGTCCTTAGCAATATTGTCAAAATAATGATTATGTTGCTTCCAACTGGACGATTTCGAAGTCGCTGGGGAGACCTATACAGGCGGCCTTTTTTTTTTTTTTTTTTTTTTTTTTTTTGAAAATCATCGAATGACTGCCCCCGCCTGGGTGAGGCGGGAGTGTCAGACTCTTACTGACTAAAAACCACCCCGTTCCTTCTCCTGCACGTCGAGCCGGAGCCCCGGTTACCCGTTAGGTTCTCCGCGACATACAGGCGGCCTAGCAGTGGACATCTTGTGGGTGACATGGCGATGATAATAGTCAAGATAAAGCTTTTTTATCTAATAAAAATAATATTTCATCACAAGATTTGAAAAATAGCAACCGTTTAGGGAAGTAATATAATAAATAACAGCGTAGTTAAGCCGAAGCCTATCGTCAAACATGTCCTAATATACATACATAACATAAATAAATCAAAATTTTAAAATAGTTTTACGATATCTTATGATATCTATTGGGATTTTACTAATATTTCCGGATTAAATAAGAATTCGATGATATAATGGAACACTTTTATTTCTTGACAGAGAACCAAAAGACAATCAGACCATAGACTACAAAACAAAAATCAGAAAAAGAAAACAACACCTTGCAAACCATAAACAATACCAAAGAGTATACAATACTCTATAAATATATCTATACAATTTATAACTTAACACTCCCACTTAAATTGTATTACAATCTTACTTATGACTGGTTTACATAAAAAAAAAACTTAACTAGACTTTGCCTTGCACCTTTAACATAACACATTAATATTACTGGAATATTTAACATACCAATAACACAGAACAATCTATATGTTAAATACTTGATCCCTTATATAATTAAATTTACCAGAAGGTAAAGCCTTTGTGAGAAAGTCTGCAAATTGATTTGAGCTTTGAACATATTTAATGCTAATGATACTTTGTTCTACTTTCTCTCTAATGAAATTGTACCGTACATCTATGTGCTTTGTCCTTCGATGGTAAATAGGATTATGAATGAGTTTAATAGCACTCTGATTATCAATACATAGAGTCACTACTAACTGTGGTTCATCAATATCAATTAACAACTGCCTAAGCCATAGAATTTCCTTTGCAGCTTCACTTGCTGCCATATATTCAGATTCTGTGGTTGATAAAGCCACAGTATCTTGTTTTCTGCTAGCCCAAGTAACAGGTCCACCATTCATCATGAAAATGTAACCTGTATTTGATTTTCTCGAATCAATGTCTGAAGCAAAATCAGAATCAGAATAGCCTATTAATTCACCTTTACCATTATAAGTAATGCAAAGCTCTTTTGTCTTTATCAAATATCGAATAATTCTTTTAACAGCATTTACATGATCTCTACTAGGATTATTCAAATATTTACTAACAATATTCAATGCATAAGAAATGTCAGGCCTTGACACTGTTGACAAAAATGTTAGGGCTCCCACTGCTTCCCTGTACGGGAAATCCGTAACACATTCATTCATATTTTTCTGTAAAATAATATTACTATCAGCAGGGGTACTACATGGATTTGCTTCTGACATGTTAAACTTCCTTATTATTTGCTCTACATACAGTTTCTGACTTATAACAATTGATCCATTAGTTTTATGTATCTCTATACCAACAAACATATTTAAATCCAATACTTTTATCTTAAAATTCTGCTCTAAATCTTTAATTATTTGCACTAAAGTATTATTACATTTTGATAACAATAATGCATCATCAACATACAAAATTAGGATAACTTTATGGTTATTAAAATTACCTACAAAAACACAATTGTCTGAGGGACACATCTCAAAACCATACGTGGTTAAGAAAGAAGAAAATTTCCTATTCCAACAGCGTGATGACTGCTTTAGGCCATATAAGGATTTTAACAACTTACAAATCTTTCCTGGCTCAGCATCAACTCCCTCAGGCACCTCCATATAGACATCCTCCGATAACTCACCATATAAAAATGCAGTTTTCACATCAAATTGTTGTATATCATAGTTTTCTCGAGCTGCAAAAGATAATATTATTCGTATGGAGTCATACCGTGTAGTCGGTGAAAATGTTTCTTTGTAGTCAATATCTTTAGTTTGTGTAAAGCCTCGTGCACAGAGACGAGCTTTATATCTTTCTGTACCATCTGAATTTCTCTTTACACAAAATACCCATTTAGATGTAACTGTCCTCTCATTCTTTTTATCTACTAACTTCCATGTTTCATTCTCTTCTAATGACTGTAGTTCTTCTCGTATAGCTTCCTTCCATTTATCACCATTCTTACAACTTATAGCCTCTTCGTATGTAGTAGGTATATCACACTCAACAAAATTTGCTTCTTCAGTTCTGATTCTCCTGGGTCTCAATGTAATATTTCTCCTATTACTTTCAGAAATCATTTGTGGAGGCTCATAAGTCACATCATTGGGATCCTCTCCTTCAATACTTTCAAAACTAGACTCTGAAAAAGTCTGTTGTCCTCCTGGTGAGGAAACTGGCACAGTTTCTGTTTCTTGACAGTTTCCTTTCTCATTAGTAATAGAAATGGAAGTGACATTTCTTCTTTGTATTTGTATGTTGTTCTCATTAAAGCGTACATTTCTACTTACTGTTATCTTCCCAGTTTTACTGTCATACATTCTATAATTGTCATTTTCATACCCCACCAGTATTAGTTTCTCACTCTTCTTATCTAGCTTTCTTCTTCGTTCATCAGGTATATGGACATAACCTTCTGAACCAAAAATTCTTATATGTTCAAGGGTAGGTTTTCTTCCATGCCACAGTTCATATGGCGACATGTTTTTCGTTTGTGTAGAAGAACTTCTATTCAATAAATAGATTGAACAGTTCACTGCTTCAGCCCAAAGGTTTAATGAGATATCACGAGAGTACAACATAGCTCTGACGCTTTCCATTGTTGTTCGCATTTCTCTCTCGACTCTCCCATTTTGTTCAGGTGTATATGGTGCTGTACGTTCATGAGTAATTCCTTCATTTTCTAAGTAAGTTCTAAATTCGTGATTGACATACTCACGTCCATTGTCTGTGTGCAATATACGAATTCCATGGCCAAATTGAT